CATATATATATATATATATATGTACCTACAGTGCACATGTACACTCACCAATTCCTTAACGACAACATTTCTCAAGCCTTGGTTAGTATAGCTTGAATAGAACAATAATTTTATTTGTGATGATGGGCATAGATGAAAATAACCCTCTCTATTACATAGGTTTTCACTAAGGAAATAAAACCTCATTTATATGTGTTTAAGAAATGAGCACTCAAATTGTTTAGAAATGAGTTTCTCTTTTATAAAGAAAGATGAAGTTGAAAATGGGTTTTCTCCACAAAGGATTTCTAGCACGAGTTACACTATTTTATCTTACTTTAGTGAGTGTTAATGTTCCATATTTAGGGTTTGACGTGCATAATATGATAGAGAATGAGTATTGTCTCTAAATCCAAATGATTGCACAAAGAAACACAACAATGATAAAAAAAAGGAGAGCAAATAAGAATTTAAGAGGGCATTGAAAGAAGATGAGAACTCAATGAATGAGTTGCTCACAATGGAAAATGAGAGTAATGGTGATGATGCATAAAGTTTCCTTGTTCATCTTGGTTCTGAATTGGGTCACTCGAGATCCTAATGTTTGCTAGATTAATTAGTTGTTAATAGATGATGGAAGATGGACTCTAGAAACAAATGACAAACTCCAGCAACAACAAACTCTAACAACAACACAAGATAAGAGTGATAATGGTCGTTGTGGGTTTGGGAGGAGTTGGAAAAAGACTTGAGAAGGGAATGATCTAGTGTGGAAGCTATGAGATACATATGTGAAGCTCAAATTAATCTAACAATCAATAAAGAGCAAGACTTGTATAAACACAATCCTGACACTTCACATTTAGGCACATCTAATTAAAAATTTACACGTCGTTAAATCTAAAATATAATTTTCTCTTTTTCATCCATTCTTTCTCACACCCTCCTCTATAATCTTGACAAGATCCCTTGTTGTTTTTCCTCTCTCACCCACCTCTATGCCTACATTACCTGGATCTTTGTCTCATGCTACTTTTTTCTTAGCATTAACCTTTCCCACACACAACTCATACCACCTCAATGTCATCCCTCATCTGGTTGCTAGATTGATATCAACTGTCCATATATTCCAATTTCCACATGTTGGATTGATATTTCGTTATAGGATTAAGAAAGTGTCTTAATGAGGAAAAATGATTGGGGGAAAAGAAAAAGCTTCTTGGTGGTTTGATTTTAAAAAACAACTTAATTATAATAATTATTTTAATTTAATATATTATAATAATGATGGAGACTAAGGTGGGGAATGAGATTAGGTGATTTATGATGTATCATTATTATTTATCTTTAGATTAATTTCATCCTTACAGTATTATGGTGGACTCTCTACACCATATGTTTTTCTTGTGTCTTCCTTCCTCTCCTCCCACCATCTGTCTTTTCCTCTTCTTTCATTTTTTCCACACTCTTCACAATAAAATCCTTTTTAATGTTCAATTATTTTTATCAACTCTTCAACCAACACTCAAATCATCCAATTTCACAATGCTTTGCTTTGTGCATGTTTTCTCATCGAAATACCTCACAACTACTATGTTTCCAATTCATTTTCAAGCACATGGTGTTGGAAACAAAAAAAATACTCATTCTTTTATAGATAAGGATGCTAAATCACAAACAAACCAACACCATAAAGAAATAGAAAAAGATGACACAAAATATATTTAACGTGATTCCAACCTTCATGCCTATATTCACATGGATATTCATTATCTCAAAATATATTATAGATATATGAAAATCATCCCTTCAAATTGTGTGGACGAAACTTGGAAAACCATCTATCATATGACTTCCTCTCTCACTTAGGTCGATGACCCCTTTATAGGTCGAGTAGTTCTTTTCACGTCAAACCTATATTTATTAACCTAAAATCCTAATCTTAAAAAGAGAAAGAAAATCTTTAAAATAAATAATTCTACAAAAGTACTAATATCTTTTAAAATCTAAACAATATCTTAAATATTTAAATTTGGAAATTTGAATTATTTTCCCAAAATTTCTGCCCTCAATTAAAACTTTCAAACTTTATCTTCTTATTGTCTTGGATACTTGTCATAGTCATCTTTAATCATATTGTTTTTCTATAGTATTTCTTATCTCCATTTTGTGAGTATTGGAAATGTCGTATATCAATCTTCAATATTTAAGTGATAGGTCACTAGATTGCAAAAACAATGAGCTTTGATACCACTGTTAGGAATAAAAAAAAACTTATTTTATGAATCAGGATGAGGGAACACAAACAAGACAATGTCATACAAAAATAGAAAAAGATCACACGAAATTTATTTAACATGGTTTGACCCCTTATGCCTACATCCACAAGGATGTTCACTGTCTCAAAATATATTACATATTTATATGAAAATCCTTCCTACACGTTTTGTGGCTAAATCTTGAAAACCCCTTCTCATAAGATTTTATAGGTGAAACTTGGAAACCCCTTCCTTAAGAGTTTTAAGAATAAAACTTGGAATCCTTCAACATAAGTTTTATGACAAAACTTGGCAAATCCTTCATCATAGAACCCCTCTCTCACTTAGAGTGGTGACCTCCTAACAAGTCGAGTAGTTCTTCTCATCTCAAGAGCCTCTACTTATTGACCTAATATCCTAATCTTAAAAGATGAAACAAATTGCTAAAAATAAATACAATATATTTCAATTCTAAACAATATCATAAATGAAATATTATCTTTTAAAATCAAACAATATCTTAGATATTTGAATTTAAAAATTTGAATTGTTATCTCAATGTGTAGAAAGACTAATGATACTTCTTGTAAGTCACTAGTTTGACCTTTCTCAATAAAATCTTCTTTTTTAAACCTTTTAATGTCAACAAAGAACAATTTGATGTTTTCCTAGAAACAATATAACAAACTAGAACCAAAGAATTCATAAAGTATAATAGTAACATGCATAGTAGAAATAACTAAAAGTGATTATTTTTCTTAGGAAAATTTGAAGAGGGTACATGGTCTTTCTTTTTAGGAGTAACCTCCATCATATAATATTGTAATGAAAGGATGAAAAGAAAAAAAGAAAAAAAGAGTGGAAGGAGGAGGAAAGACTAAGGTTTATAATATACTTTTTTTTATTCAATCGTTGTAATTTTTTTTTTAAAAACTGGTCATCTAAAATTTACATCTTAAGAATTTAGGTTTTGTAATTTTGTTTTAATTTTTATAATACATCTATTTTTAAATTTTAGTCTCAATAATATTTTGTTTATTTTTAATTGGTCTTTTTAAAAAATTACAAAAACTAAAAGTAAAATATAAGGAAAAAACAATGAGTATATTACCATGATTAAAATAAAATAAAAAGAACCAAAATAAATTTGTGTACAAAGATAAAAAAAAAATACTACGTATATTACAAAAACAAAAATATATTTAAATATAGAATATAATATTAAAATTATATAAAGATTTTCGTCTAAATTAACCCTAAGATTCAAACCATTGCTCTCGCAGAGTTACTCTAAATCTAATGCCTAATAATTCCCCAAACAAAGTAAAATAAAACTCGGTGGCGTCGTATCGGGCTTGCCGATGAGCGTCGCCGAACCCCGCGCCACTGCGGCGGCGGCGCCGCGGTGGAACCCGACGACGGCATGGAACAACCAGCTCCGGCAGCTATCAAAGCAACGGCAATACAGAGAAGCCTTAACCCTGTACCGCCACATGCTCCGTTCCTCCTTCTTCCCCAACGCCTTTACCTTCCCCTTCCTTCTCAAATCCTGCGCCGTTCTCTCTCTCCCTCTCACCGCTTCCATGCTCCACGCCCACGTCATCCGAACCGGGTCACAACCCGACCCGTATACCCGCTCCTCCCTCATCAACGCCTACTGCAAATGCTCCCTCCCCGGCCACGCGCGCAAGGTGTTCGACGAAATGCCAAACCCAACCATTTGCTACAACGCCATGATCTCTGGCTATTCATTCAACTCCAACCCGCTTGACGCCGTCAGGTTGTTCTGTCAAATGCGGAGGGAGGAGGAGGAGGATGGGTTGGACGTTAGTGTTCACGTTAACGCTGTTACTTTGTTGAGTTTGGTTTCTGGGTGTTCCGTCGCTACCCATTTGACTGTTGGTGTTTGCCTTCATGGGTGCGTTATTGGGTTTGGGTTTGGGGCTGATTTGGCTGTAGCGAATAGTTTGGTTACCATGTATGTAAGGTGTGGGGAGGTTGAACTTGCGCGCCATGTGTTTGATGAAATGTCTGTTAAGGATTTGATCACGTGGAACGCTATGATTTCTGGGTATGCGCAGAATGGGCATGCTAGGAGTGTTTTGGAGGTTTATAGTGAGATGAAGTTGAGTGGGGTGAGGGCTGATGCTGTTACCCTTCTTGGGGTTTTGTCGGCCTGTGCGAACCTTGGCGCGCAAGGGATTGGTCGGGAGGTGGAGCGCGAGATGGAGCGGTGTGGTTTTGGTTGTAATCCGTTTTTGAGGAATGCGCTTGTGAATATGTATGCTAGGTGTGGGAACTTGACTCGGGCGAGGGAGGTTTTTGATTGCTTGGTGGAGAAGAGTGTGGTTTCGTGGACGGCGATCATTGGTGGGTATGGGATCCATGGCCGTGGGGAGGTTGCAGTGGAGCTTTTTGATGAGATGGTTGAGTCGGGTGTTAGGCCGGATGAGACGGTTTTTGTGACTGTTCTTTCGGCATGCAGCCATGCTGGGTTGACTGATAAGGGATTGGACTATTTTGAGGAGATGAAGATGAAGTATGGTTTGAAGCCTGGTCCGGAGCACTATTCTTGTGTGGTGGATCTTTTAGGCCGGGCGGGAAGGTTGGAGGAGGCTATGGATCTCATAAAGTCGATGAAGGTAAGACCCGACGGTGCTGTTTGGGGTGCGCTTCTGGGTGCTTGCAAGATTCATAAGAACGTGGAGCTAGCAGAATTGGCCTTTAAGCATGTTGTGGAGCTTGAACCCATGAATATAGGTTACTATGTCTTGTTGTCGAATATATACACTGATGTTAATAACTTAGAGGGGGTTTTAAAAGTTAGAGTCATGATGAGGGAAAGAAAGCTTAGGAAGGATCCTGGATGCAGCTATGTGGAATATAAAGGAAAAATGAACCTTTTTTACTCGGGGGATATGATCCACCACCAAAGTAAGGAAATATATAGGATGTTAGATGAATTGGAAAGTCTTGTGAAGGAGATTCATCCGCCAGATGAGAAATATGAAGGGAGGAATGAAGAACTCTTAATTGGTGCAGGGGTACACAGTGAAAAATTGGCAATTGCATTTGCCCTCTTGAACACTAGGAGTGGAACTAAGATTACTGTCATGAAAAACTTGAGAGTGTGTGTGGATTGTCATTTGTTTATCAAGTTGGTTAGCAAGATTGTCAATCGGCAATTTATTGTTAGAGATGCCACTCGCTTCCACCATTTCAGAGATGGAGTCTGCTCTTGTAATGACTACTGGTAAAAACAATGCAGCACTATTTCTGAAACTTTGGCTTTTGATAATGATGCCTGACCTCACCTAAGTGATTGTTGCTGTTGGTGGAAGGGAAAATTCATGACAAAACATGAGGGGATATAATAGTAATTTATAGATGTTCAAGTGAAAATCCCATTATTTTTAAGTTAGATAAGACATTAATGGAATGGGAAGAAATGACAACACTGGATGGAGTAACTCTTTTTGCTAGTTTCTTGTCTTCTCATTCAAGGACTGATCTCCCTGAAACGATGAGAAACAGTGTCTACTTCTCTAAAGTTCGTAGCGTTGCATTTCATTCTCTCTTGATGACTATAGATACTATCGTCGTACGCTGTGGCATGAATGGGGAGAACAAGACCCTTTTGAAAACATATGGGTTGAACCACCAAAGGACTTTGCTGGGTTCACGTGAAGAACTTTAGTGAAACAAGTAAGCATTCCCAAATCCCTATCCTGTAGATCTATTTGTTATGACTTATAATGTCTTATAACTGCTGGATATATGCTTTCATAGAAAATTAGCAATGCATGATAATTGTTGTCATTCTTTATTAAGTAATTATGCATGGTTGAAATTTTCATCAATGTTATTGATGTTTATATTATTTAATTATCAATGCTTGCTCCATGCAAATTACAAAGTAATCCAGGTTGCTCTCATTCAGTCATTCTTTTCAAGGTTAAGTTACATGATTTAATTTTGATCCACTATCAGTGTAAAAGTATTTTCACACTATCATCTAATTATTTATTGATCTGTCACAAATGATTGAATGATAGTGTAAAAATTGACAGTAGTCAATTAATCAAAGCCAGACTTGCAACTTTCATTCAATTCTTTTGACACATCTGAGATCGCTAAATGTTCAGGAGTTCCTCTATTCAATCCTTTTCCTTCTTCTTGTTGCTGGATATCTCGTTCGTACACATCTTCTCTTTGTTTCTCGAGTCTACCATGAGTTACAGACAGAGTTCAGGGATTTTTCCTAAATGGTTACATGTGTAAGTATCTCAAGTTTTAGTATTAGTCATCAGTATAAATGATACTCTGCATTTACTGCACTTTTTTACTTACATACATATTCTTTTAATTGCTATTTAATTTTTTTAAAATGGTATGGTTACTATCAAATGCTTTAAAAATGGCCAGGGTCATAATGCTTTGGAAAAGGGAAAAGGGATTAGAGCTTAAATTATGAAACATTATTGATTATGTGTACCGAACAACAGAGCTAACTAGTTTATTGTGACTTGTTGTGAGGATAAGAGGAGTGAATTCACATCTGGATCTTATGGGAACAATCACGATTGGAACACTAGAGTCATATGTGTCTGCATTGGAATTTATGAGTTATTTTTTATAAGTCTTGTACAAGTTCATTCATTTGCATTAAGAAATCAGCTTTCGTAAAATTTGTCTAAAATTCCATATAATGTATAAAATTTGCAAAATCCCTACAGGTAGTTAGGATCGCAAACATTAATGGTAACTTGTTCTATAGGGAGGGAGAAAAAGGAGAAGAAAAAAGAATTACTATCGGGGGAGAAGTTGTGTAGTGAAGATTGTAAAGTTGTAAGATGAAGCAAGAGGTCCATCGAGAAGAGCCTTAATAAAATAACAATTGCTTTTCTTAAGCAAAAATCTACCTACATACATTAAGCAATAAATATCTTATTTTTGGTTTCTTTCTATTTATTTGGGGATGCATGAGGGGTTACAGAGTAGTCTTTGTTTGATTTTGCATCAAAGTCCATAAACATGCATCAAAAACATAAAAAAAGAGAAGCTTTATAACATGTGAAATTGACATGTGTTACCTCTGAACTCCGAAGTGACACTGAACTTATAGGGTACGGGCCCTTGTTAGGCAAGTCTACAAGAAGAGGAAGGTACAAGGAATGAGGCAGGATCTGCTTAAGTACAAAGGGATCGGGTTCTCTTAAGCTCATCCAAGGGGCTTTACATGATCAGGGCATTCACTTCATTTTGGAGTTCAATCAGATTAAGCATCCTCAAGAGAAAAACAGTATTCTACCAGATATTTTGGAGCGGTTGGAGGAGTATGTGGCAGTTTTCCAGACCCCACAAGGCCTGCCACCAATGCGGAGACAAGATCATGCAATCGTCCTTAAACCCTGAGCTCAAATTCCTAATCTGGGACCTTATAAATATCCACATTACCAAAAGGACAAAATACAGAAGTTGGTAAGAGAATTGTTGTCAGCTAGATTTATCTGGCCGAGCACTAGTCCTTATGCCAAGCCCGTCATATTAGTCAAGAAGAAGGATGGAGGGTGGAGATTTTGTGTTGATTATAGAGCCCTAAATAAGTAGACAATGGCAAACAAGTTCCAATTCCAGTGATTGAAGAGCTATTGGATGGGTTAGAGAAGGCTACTATTTCTAAACTTGAAGGAAGGAGACGTAGAGAAGACCACGTTTAGAACCCATGAGGGGCGGTATGAGTATCTTGTCATACCTTTTGGACTGATAAATGCTCCCTCAACCTTCCAATCTGTAATGAATGAGGTGTTAAGACCTTTCCTAAGAAGGTTCGTGCTTGTTTTCTTTTACAATATTCTCGTATATAGCTCAACTAGGGATGAACACGTTCAACACCTGAAATTAGTTCTACAATCATTACAATCATTAGTTCTACAATCGGGACAGGGTGTGGCAGCTGATCTGACGAAGGTGGAGGCACTGTGGGCTTGGTCAATACCAAAGGATCTCAAAGGTTTTAGGGGATTCTTGGGCCTAACAGGTTACTATTGGAGATTTGTTAGGGGATTGGGAAAATAGCCAGACCCTTAACTGCCTTACTTTAGAAGGATGCGTTCCAATGGACAGAAGCGGCTCAACAAGCTTTTCAAGAGTTGAAGGTTGCTGTTACTTCGCTACACATCTTAGTAGTGCCAGATTTTTCCAAACAGTTTATAGTAGAAACCGATGCTTCAAGCTCCGACCTAGGTGCAGTGCTCATACAAGATGAGAGGCCCCTTGCTTTTTTGGAGTAAGGCATTATCCAAAAGGTGCCAAGAGAAGTCTGTATATGAAAGGGAATTGATGGATGTGGTATTGGCAGTAAGGCATTATCCGAACCAAACACCCTCATAAAAGACAATTCATGAATTTTAAGCCTAACAATAACAGATAGCATAACAAAAATGCAAGTCAGGCGGCATTGTAAGGGCATTGTGAATAAGAAATTTGACAATGCTAGGGGAAGATCAAAGATTGAGGCGTATTTAAAGGTCACATTCCACCTAGTGAACTTGACAACCTGGCCTTCTTCCGTATCTTATCTACGTAAAAGAGCCAACTTATGATTTTGAATTTGATTGGCTTACATTACTGTTAGTGCACCATTTTAACTTTGTCTGCCCTCCTTATTTATCATTAGACAGCTCTTATGTACAAAAATTAGAACATACTTCGGCAGTCCTGAAAAGTTATCTTCCGTACTTGGCAAACTTACGGACAATTTCTTCTGAACTGGTGTTTGTCAAAGATAGTTGTGTTCTCTGTGCCAAGCTCGTGACTAGGTTCCCTGCCTTTACAATTGAGCTTGTTGGCTCGATCTGTTTCTGTGCATATAATAGGCAGTGACATTTTCATCTAACTGTCTTGCATGTCATTCGTCATCCAGAGCATGACAATTTAAGTTCCCCTTAATCGTTCTCTTGGGCTGTTGCAGTTCGTTAGTGAGGCTCATATGGAAGCATGCCGAAGGCAGCTTCTTTACCATATAATATAGGAGGCTACTATTAAGTGAAGAATCACATCTGTTGGGTTAGACTTAAACCTTTTGATTCTCTTGTCTCAGCTGTAGAATTTTTAAGATTTTTCCCAACACAATAGTTATGTAGTGCTTATGCAGAATAATTGAAGTTCATTCTAGAATTACCTACAGATTTGTCAACATATTTATTTTCATGATTGTTACTCGTCTTTAACTTTTTGTTTGATTGGATTGTCGGCTAATTCAATTTTAACTGCCATTAGTATTACCAACCGGAAGCTTGTTTTAATGAATTCTCAGAAGCTGTGAGTACTATGTACACCCAAGGAAATGAATAATATACCCAAGGAAGTCTCTGATAATATTTTTATTTTTTTTTACTGCAAAAGGATAATACATCAAAGAGAAAGAAACATTCAGTGGTAGACACATAAGAAACGATCAATGCGATCCCTTGGTTGTTGGTTGTGGTTGCAGTATCCAACTACTGGGGATAATGGAACTGTCCTAGTGTTTTATTCTAGTTCAAGGATAACACTCGCACCCTTTCCGCCATCTCTTTTATACCAACAACCTTGTCTCTATAATTACTATTATTTCAATCCCCCCACAAAGTCCATACAGCAGCGTACCACACAGCCAATCCTCTCAATTAATTAGTGTAGTCTTGATTAAAAACACTTCTAGCTTGTAGCAAATTTATCTTAAGGTATAAAACTGCGTTAGAATGTGAGTTAATCACCTATATACTGTCAGTGTAAAGTTTTTTTACACTGACAACCAATCATATTTTTTAATAGTGTCATGTCAGTTGTTTTTTTAATGAAATAAAAATAAAATAAAATAATTTAAAAGATTTGATTAGTTGTCAGTGTAAAAAAACTTTACACTGAGAGTGTATAAGTGATTAACTCTTATAATGTTACCAAGCCAACAACCCAAGCCATAATTTCCAAGCTCTTTAACACTCAAATAATATATGTTTTGAGTCTTCTATCCCCCGTCAAGTCTCTTGCATCTAACTCCTCTCCTCCTGGCCAAATTTTTGAAGAGTTGGTAATCTATCTTGTGCTGCCAACCTAACAAAAAAATTGCATTTTTGGAGGAGCTCCTCTAATCCACTTGGTAAAATATTATTCTTTAACCCACATCTTCTGATAGTATTTTTAATGCATAATAAAGAAAAAAAAAAATATTAGTTCAAGACTGTCCGCAATCTATCTGAGCATCAGGATTTCCCTTTCTTTTCCTCCTTAAATGAAGATAACTCAACTATATAGCCCTTTTCAAATTCCTTCGATATTTAATTTGAATGTAAAATATGTTTGAACACAGTATTTAATTCCTTCAATATCAAGACTCGGAGCCCAGTAGTAGCCATTAAGAACATCTGAAGCCTCAAACCCAAGGTCCAAACGCTTTAAGTTGGTGTGTTCTTGGTTGTTAAATTGTTGTAAATTGTGATACTTATGTATCGCCAAGTATTTTTTAGTAGTGTCAACCGTCAAGTATTCATTATGTTAAACATGTGCAGTTGTGCACTTCAAAATAGTAATTTAAGGATTTTTGGAACTGTTCCTTTGAAATTTGGCCTTTCTATTCTAATACTTCATTTTGAAATATATTTAAAATAATCAATTGAATTTAACAAGTCAGCTTTACTGAAAAAAATGATATTAGATGTTATTGTTTAAATTATTATAGATATAATAGGATGAAAATAAAAAAAAATATTTTAAAAAATATTTTTCATTCTAATTTAAACGGTATGAGATTAGAAGTGTATTGTGGCTTAATTTCTTTGCTAAAGGCAATAAAATGGGCTACTTGGTCCATTGTGGCCTAGTTTGGTACAGACTATGAGTTACCTCGAGTTTGATCGAAAAGGTCTAAATTAATGTGATCTTTTTAATTGGTGTCCAAGCTTAGTGTTATGTGACTTGTAGGTTTTTTGAGTTGGCTCGCTTTTTTTTTTTTCTTTTTTTTTTATATATTTATTTTAATTTTATTATATATTTATTTATTTATTTTTTTGTTGATTTTTTTTTAAAATTTTATCTCAAACAAAATTTAAGATTTACATCGATTTTTTTAGCATATATTTATATAGTCTTAAGTTCTAAATATCATCTTTAAAATATGTAAATAAAATAATAATTTTTATTATATATATTAAGTAATAGTTGTAGATACAACATGAAATTGACAAAGAATTAGGTAGTCCAAACCCAACCTGATTAGTCTAGCCTAAATATGTTTATGAAAAGAGTTTTATCGAATTGTATTAGAAAATTTGCATTTTATTTGGTTTCATAATTTTAAACCCAACACCTATATTTTAATAGGTGGAATTAGACTAATTCGACAAGTTTGTCCTATCTCTATTCTTTACCAATTTATCTATCGCTTAAATTAAGATGGAAACTATATTTTATCTCAATGTTTAAATAATTTATTTTATTTTATATTTCTTTATTCTAAATTTTTATTCAAATTTATTATTCTTTATATATTTAAACCTAATTTTAATGATATATTCTTATATCCATGCTTGAAAAATAAAATATTATATTTTTTTGAAAAAAAAACTTTTCATTTTTCGATTAAGTCAATTCTTGAAATTGTTAATATAATAATTAAATTGATCAAGTTTAACTAAACTTATAGTCTTTGTATGTGAGAAAATTTTTAGTAACGTATTCTTTGATACTCTCTTTGAACTACATTCTTTGTAATTGATTAAAATTTATTTGAAATTATAAAAATGTTTAGATTGAGCTTATACATTTCAATAAATGTTGGTCAATAGTAGAGTACTATATTAGAAAAAGTATGTCAGAAAGTATGTTATTAATATTATATATATATATCCATACACAAAAATAATTCAAACCAGTTCATTCACGCAAATATATTATTGCTTTAAATTTAATATCTTTATCGTTTATGAACGAGACAGTGACTTGTATAACAATAACTTGTTAAATTATAAGTTATTTTTAAATAATATTACACGTACAACAAAAATTATATAATAATTTATATAATATTACTTTTATGTCTATTTCTCTTTATCATTAATAATATTTTTGTACTATCTGTATCGTTATGCCGAGCTCGAGCTCGGCATCATAGTGCACGTTGATCTCGGACAAGCGCTAAGCTACGTCAGCTCGACATCCAAATAGGTCATAATTGATCTAAGGCCTAAGGCCCATCGAAACCCTAATCCACACAAAGGTACGTGCATTACTTATACGAGACTTATACACCCACAAACACTAACTTTAGCATCGGAGTCTCTTTTGCAGGTATCACCCCCATCTTGGAGCATCAAACGTACCAATGAAGAAGGCTCGCCGATCTTACCCATCAGATCGTCTCCTACGACTGATCTCTGGTAAGAACATTTGGCGCCTATCGTGGGGCTGATCGAGACAACTCTTATCGGCCACGCTTATGGTTTTCACTCGAAGCCATAGTAGACGAGCAACAGACGACGTCGATCACACGACAAACATGGACAACAAAGCAACATTGAGAAGGCTGATCGAGCAGGCGAACAAATGCGACAGCAACACATCGTCGATCTGCAAAACATGCGTGCCAAGCACGAAACTGACTTAGCGGCGCTGTGTACCACTAACGAAGCTGACCTAGCGGCGTTGCGCGCCGAGAATGAGCGCATTCGCGCCTAGCTTCCTCGGCAACCTTCTGATCAACCTCCTCAACCGAGTCACCAACACGAGGAAGAGAGGCACTCGGTTTCTCAACCGTCGACAGCACCTAGGGCACCGACTCCCAAGCCTGCCACACATCGGTCACACGCACCGACAAAAAGGTCGGCCCATGAAGTCAGCATTGCTCTTGCCCAGGCTCCTAGCAATCGAGCGAGCATCCGCCGTCACCCTTTTGTGGATGGCATTATGGAGACCCCCTACCTTTCGGCTGGAAACCCCTCCACATCGACCGCTACGACGACACGACGGATCTGGACGAGCACATCGACCTGTATATCACGCAGGTAAACCTTTACACTAATGATGATACTATTTTGTGTAGGGTTTTTCTGACCTCGCTCAAGGGGGCTGCGCTCAATTGGTATACCCAGTTACCTGCTGAGTCGATTGACAACTTCGACACCTTGATAAGGCGATTCACGGCGTAGTATGCCACGAGTCGCCCTCACCACGTCACCTCCGCCACCTTGGCCAGTCTCCGACAAGGCGACGATGAGTCATTGAGGGCGTTCATGGAGTGCTTTGCCAGCATCTCGGTGAAGATTCGGAACATGAACCCCGAGGTCGCCCTGCTCGCCATGCTCATGGCGCTCAAGCCAGACCCTTTTGTGGACAGCCTGTGTCGCCGAGCTCCTGCTGACATGGACGAACTCCGTGCCTGAGCTGCAGGGTACATACAGATGGAAGAACACTCTGCCTTTCGTGACTAGGTTCGCGGAAAACCACAAGCGAAGCCTGACAATGGTCACAAAGACAAGATGAAGGATACCAATGACAGCTAGTTCAAGAAGACTGCCAGGGCAAATAAGGGGGGGAGATACGACTTCTACACTCCCCTGAATATGCCCCGAGTACACATCATGGAGGAGGCCAGTAATAGCAACCTGCTCACCCTGCCACCACAATAGTGCAGACAAATCCAAGCACTGCCGATACCACAGAAACCACGGTCACACCACTAAAGAGTGCCGCACACTCCGAGACCGTATCGAGGAACTCATCCAGGCGGGTCACCTCGGCCAATACGTCCAACGACAACAGGGTCACAGAAGGGGCTACAATGGACGAGGACGAGGCAAAGGTCGTGGTTCGGGAGCTCGCACGGACCAACCCTCTAGCTCTCACTAAAATTCCGGTGGCGCAGTGCAAGCCGAGGTAAGCCAGGAAACAGGGTCAGCTCTCTTGCGGGGAGTAATCAACACAATTGCAGGTGGCTTTGCAGGGGGAGGATCCAGCAGCTCAGCCCGAAAAAGACACCTGCGCAGTATCAACAACGTCCACTCTGCTACCTCGGCCTCGCACCAAAGCTCACCGCCGATCACCTTCACCGACGACGACTACACTAGCGTCTGCCCCAACCAGGACGACCCAATGGTCATCACCGTGGAGGTCGCCAATTGGGAGGTCCACAAGACGTTGATTGACCAAGGAAGCTCGGCTGACGTCCTATATTG